CAACCACCGCCGCGTGTAAGGCCATCTCACAGTTTACTCCGGTCGTCTTTTCCATTTTGCACGTTGGGTAAGTTTTTATTTTGTTGATGGTAAAATTACATTACAACCCCCATAATTTTGTTTTATTTTAGATGGTTAAATTACATGAAACCCCCACAGTTTCCTTCATTTATAGTAAAACACAAATTGCATGAAACTATAAATGGAGGAAACTATGGGGGTTTATGCAATTTAACCATCAGAAATAAAACACAAATATAGGGGCTGTAACGTAATTTTAACATTAAAAAAACAAAAACTTAATATTTGTATTTTATTTCGGATGGTTAAATTGCATGACCCCCAGTTTCCTTCATTTATAGTAAAACACAAATTGCAGGAAACTATGAATGGAGGAAATTATGGGGGTTTATGTAATTTAGCCATCATAAAGAAAGCACAAATATGGGGGGTTTATGTAATTTAACCATCAGAAAGAAAGCACAAATATGGGGGCTGTAATGTAATTTTAACATTAAAAAAAATAAAAACTTACCTAAACATGCAAATTGGAAGAAACTACCAGAGTAAACTGTGAGATGACATTACACGCAGCGACGGTTGGGAACGAAGGAGAACGGCAGTCGTGGTCCGTCTGCTAGGCCGGCCGACGTTCGGGGATGATGTTTTGAAGGTCAATGTCGTAAAAAAGAAAAAAAGGAAAACAAGACAACGAAAAAAAAGGACGATGGCCGACGCAAACGAAAGTGCTTCTCCTTCGGATGGACGACGCTGAACTGAGCGACAGTGAACTGGGACGACAACGGCAGTGCTAGATGTTGAGGCAATTGGATTTTCGGCGAGTCAAGAGTTCACGGCTGTAAATTAAAATTTAAATCCTTATACTTTTTAATTTTATATAATAAGGATAAATTTACTTGTGATATGATTCGATATGTCGTTTTAGTTGTACATTGCGGTATGCGACGTGCGTTGTAGACTTATCCATCTATTCATAATCTTTCTTAGCTATTGACGTGTACATCTCCTATAGACGAAACTGTTTGAACTCGAATTTTTAGGTGAATATTATTCCCTTTTACCACTAAGATCATTCAATGTGATAACATCTTATATTGCTAGACTAACTGATAATTGATAAAACTTATGTCTAGTTTTAATATTAATTTATTGTGTAAAAAACAAAAGTTCATATATAAAAACAAAAGTTCATATATAGAAACAAACAACAAAGTAAAGGATTAGTGCCTAAAGATTTTGTGTAAAAAATACGATTATACAAAAAACTAAACTTAGTGACACCAAACTTTTTCGATATCAGATATGTAACATGTTTGAATCTTGAGTCTTGATTTTTAAAAAGTATAAACAAGATTGAGTCTTGAGCAAAAAAGGGATGAGAATTCCAAAAGAAAAAACAAAAATTTAAAAGATTTTGGTTTTCAGATATGGATGCTAATCACAAATTATATATACGTATGTATGTTATGTTTTGGATATTCCATTGGCTGAAATAATGCCAGCAGGGATTTGTCTGGTACCTTGCACCTTGTTTATACTTGAGTGTCAACGTGTCTTGTCTGTCTTAACACACATGTTTTTTCTGTTTAATTCATAATTCGAGGCCCACATTTTATCGTTCAATGTATAGTTTTCATGGTCCCTTTGTGAGATCCTGAAATATTTGTTGAGAATATCACATATAAAGAACGTGCACTTTTTCTTTTAAAAAAAATGATTTGAATTTTTATGAACAATTCAGATGAATTTAAACTTTAAAGCCCTTTTCGTTGATTGTACCTCTAAAATTATGGGTTTTTCATTTATAAAATGAGCTTATATTTCGTGAATATAACACAAATTATAAATATTTAAATTTAAATATTAGATTCCCTAAAAATTAAATATGAGATATATTAATCGAGTTCAATTAGTAGTTGAATTTGATCTTAAAGTTTAATTATTTTGCTTTAAATTTCTAGTGTAACACCTAAATTCGTTTTGACTCGAAATTGAGAGAGTTTGGATATTACATGAAATCACCGAAGGGACTCATCATTTTTTTTAAATCAAAACTCATAATTATGATAAAGCATGAATAAAATTCATAGTTTGAACGATAGTAATAACGCTTACAAAAAGGGAGCTTCTAATAATACATCCCAAAATATACAAAGTTTGTCAAAAGATAGTTACAACTCAAATACATATAAGGTCTATGAGATACATCCCTGCTAAAATACTTGATACGTAGTCTGATAACTTGACTGAATTTGAAATCCTCAATTTGACTATAAACTCCCCGAATTGGCACCTAAATACCTACAAATGGAAACAAATTCTTAACGTTGAGATCACAAGCTCAGTGTCACACAAATAACCCTACCATAATACGTGCATTCACTATATAAGTATGCAAGCAAGTATAACCATGGAACAACAAAATTCATCAAGCATGCAATCACCTCAAAAGCAACACGGTGTAATTCAGGGTACACAATATCGCGACAACGCCAATTAATATCTTAAGTTCCTTAGCAATGAATTAAAGTGCCATATAACTATACTAAAGTGCCTTAGCACTAACTTATATACACAAATATTCTCATTTATAAAATAGATGATCATCATCCACAAGTGGTAATTAGAGTGTCCTTATCATTTCGCAAGATTCAAACAAAGACATAAGTCTTATGAAATATTACCTCATAATATTCTTGTGTATATCACACAATTTGTTTAATTTTCTCACTTGCAAGCTTTGATTTACAGATTTCACTAACCATAACCCTTTCTGGTTACCTTGACCAAAGCAATGGTTTTATCTTTTTAATTAACGATGCTACCGATACTCAACCCTGTAGTATCGATACTACTCTCTTATGATATAGATATTGCTCTGAGTACTAGTAATCAAATTATATTTGATGTTTGAAAAATTAAACTTAGTATCGATACTATTGGGACTATCAATACACCCCATGGCGTAGCAGAAAAATAATTTCGACAGTCTCACCAGTGATCTAAGTACAAAAATCAGAATCGAGAGGAAGAGATATGAAAATTCACCTTGGGTTCCTGGAAAAAACAATTTGACAATGGAGTCACAAATTATTCGAATCATAAACCTCCATGAAATCGTCTCGGCTTCTACACAGTTCACCCGATTGAGAGAAAATATTTCTTTCTTCTCAAAACTTGTTTTTGAGAATTTTTGACTAAAAAGTGGTACACTGGTTGCTAGACCTTACTTACCCTTTTATATAAAATTTCCCAATCACTTAGGTTTCTCCCTACTTTTATTTATTAAAAGAATTATATTCATAACTAAATCCTTTTGATATTTATTATAACCGGGATAATCAAAATGAAATATATATATATATATATATATATATATCAAATATATAAATTAACTTGAATTATATATACTTGACTCAAGTATAATAAAATTGTACAATTACAACTCGTTTAATATTTGCTCATTTCAACCCTGGGGTGTGACCCTGTAGGTTCTTGTAACATTAGTAGCAATACTAGAACCATTCTAATTATTACAAACAATGAGTTACATCTAGAAATATATAATTGTCACCTAAGTTACAAGAAATCATGATTCAACATAAGCTCTTCGTGACTAACTCCTTTATGCATTATATCCTTTTGTCCTTTATATCTGGAATAGACACAAGTCCTGTAATAGTCACACTTGTATAACACATCTAATGTTTCTTGATATCTAGAGTAGACTAAAAATTAAACAAATAACATGTGATATCTTATATTAACTTGTTCGAGTATGGCCATGCATTATATAGTCTCACAAAATCAAGTGGCTTGTGATATATTTCCTATATTGTAGGAAGAACAAATTCTATCTTGATCATTCACACCTCACTACATGTATCATGATATATTCAATATCAGTCTTTATAGCACAACCAGTTACAGAATATGTATAACTGTATCAAAACATACAATAATATATGTTAAGATAGTAATGATATCAAGTCTGAGGATCATACATATTGTCACACTACACCAAGATTGGTATATAGCGACACTTTTAGTGACATTTTCGAAGTAAAAGTCATTAATTTTATAAATGTAGTGGTGTTTTGATAACAAACGCCACAAAAGAATACATTTAATGGCGTTTATTGGGGTGCGTTGCAATATTCATGTACCTTTAGCAGTGTTTTTTTTATTAAAATGCCGCAATAAAGTAGTATATGGTGGCGTTTTTGTGTAATCGCCGCAAAATATGTGTACTTGAGTGACCTTTTTTTATACAAACGCTTAAAACCCAAATTTTCTTATAGGTCATCTCTTACTCTCTACACTCCATTATTGTCTCTTATTTTTCTCTTCCGTGGTCGTCACTCATAGGTATAATCTCTTCTCTTGTTCTCTTTTATTCTCTCTATAATTTCTTCGCCCATTCTTTACATTGTCATATGATTCATATCTTAGATGCAGCTAGATTTATTAGTTTCACGATTCTCTTTATAATCTCTTCGCCATGGAAAGGGATGGAAAAAACATTTATTGTCTTTGCTTGACCCTCCTTTTCTCTTTCGTTTTGCTTGGAATTTCTAGGGGTTTGCTAGCGGAAAAAGTTTGTTTGCTTTTTCTTTCGAAAAAGAAATGGACACTTTCCATGTTTACTCTCATTATCTTCATCCTACGACTTCTCCAAATTTCAAAACCCTAATCTCAATTCTTGAAAACCATAAATTCTTCTCTTCCCCATCACCATCGATGTCGTTTCAGGCTCCTCTAAACGGCTTGAAGGAACCGTTGCTGACCCTCTAGGCCATCTCTTTTGGCTAGAGTCATGCCCTTCTGACTCAGGGTAATTTCGAAGTCTTAAACCCCCAATATACATTATATTGGAAACTACAAGTTCTGATTTTTTAAATAAAAGAAAAAAATGGCGGGTTGTTCTTGTTAAAGAATCATGTAAAGCTGGGAATGAACCAATTGATGTTACTCCATCGGAATTTCTGTGCAGACGCGGGTCCAAGAGTATGGAGGAGGATATTTTAGTATTTCTGGGGACACTGTGTTGTTCTCCAATTATAAAGATCAGAGATTGTACAAGCAATCAATCAATTCCAAAGGTTCGGATGCCCACTTTCTTTTTCACTCTTATTGGCTTTGATTATCTGATGCTAATGGATGATGAAGCAGATTCTTGTCCAGTACCAATCACTCCAGATTATGGAGAACCGGTTATCAGTTATGCTGATGGAATTTTTGATTCAAGGTTTAATCGTTATATCACTGTAATGGAAGGTTAGACCTTTGTAATTTGTGCTTATCTCTAGTGTTAATGGGGTTGTGGAATTTTCCCTTTTTGTTGATTCAGTCTTTTCGTCTTGATAGATCGCCATCTAATTAGTTTAAATTCAACAACAATCACAGCAGTACCACTTGATTACGGGAATATTTTTCGAAAAAAATTTTACTCATTTTTTAGTGTTTGATTAGTGAAAAACTGGTTAGTCAATGTAAAGTATTTTCCTGGTCAATAAAATTTTCTTTATATTTTTCGAAAAATGAATTATAGTCTAATTTTTTTGTAAGTTATTTTTTAAACTTTTCGGTTCAAAGAATAAATACTCAAAATAATTTTATTTTGTGAATTAATATTAATATAATATTTTAATATAATTTTAATCAAAATATTAATTATTAAAATATTTAAAATATATTTATTAATATTTCTAATAATATAATATTATATTTTTAAATTATAATAATATACTCAATTATATTAAAATAATATAAGATATTATATTTTTATTTTAATAATAAATAATTAATAATTAATAAAAAATATATTATTTAGTAATTTCATAAAAATAATATTATTAAATTATTAATAATGAATCCCATTAAGTCCATTTCTATCTAGGAGAATATACTAATGAACAAGGTTTTTATGATTATCCACAAAAGTTTTTCGTTTTCGTTTTATTTGAGACTGATATTTTATCATTCCAAGATGCTTTGGGCTTACGTTGGGTTTGTCAGGATGCAATGAATAGAATTTAATGCTTTGAATCTTATTATGTCACGAACGATGAGAAACAGAAGTAGCTGGGATTTCAAGTCTTTCTTGTTCTCAAACTCCTTTATATTATTTATGTATTAAAAATTAATATATTTTAATAAATATAATATACTAATATTATTTTAATAAATAATTAATATAACTTATAATATTTTATTTCAATAGAATATACTAATCTTAATATTTTTATTAATAAAATTAAAGAAATAATATTTTAATAATAATAAATAAATTAATCTAATATTTAAAAATAATAATATTAAATTTTTATGATAAATAATATTATTTCTTGTATTTAATTTTTGTAATAGATAATTTCTAAAAAAATCATCAACCAGTGAAAAATAGTTTACACAACATCTTCCAAACACCGTAAAACGTTTTCAGAAAATATAATTCTTTTTATGGAAAATTTTTTTTAAAAATATTTTATGTGAAACAAACATACCCTTATATTGTTTGTAAACTATTGTGTTTTAATTATGATATGATTTTTCAGGTTTGTATTTTTGTTTTTTCTTTCCTCGTATGTTAAACTTAATATTATCAACTATTGTTTGTTGTTTCATATGTTTATGAGAAAAGAATTTTATCTTTTGTTTCATATGTTAAACTTAATATTCTTTTTACTTTATTTTTGTTATGAACTTGATAAGATTCCTAAAATTTAGAGCTTGCTTTGTGCAAGAAGCAGTTCGTCGAGCAACCATAGCACGGAAGTTTGTTCCTGTATTCATGGGTAAAGCATACATAATTTGTGCGTCGGGCAACCATAGCACGGAAGTTTATTCGTACACTCAAAATCGCCCCTTAATGAATGTTTTATTTATTTATCATTGAACAGTGTTTTTAATTGAAAGAGACAACCGTAGCACGGAAGTTTGTTCCTACTGTCACGCCCCCATAACTTCGACGCCTCAAATCGTCGGAATATCAGAGTCAAGGTCTGACGGGTCGTGCGGCCTTAGACGCTTTAGACGCTCCTCGGTCTTCTCGGCGACTAAGTAAGCCTTACCCAAGCCTAGTGAGTGTGCAAACTCAAAAGGTTGGAACCAAGCCCTCAAGGCTTCGGATTGCGGAAGCTTTAAACACCAACCTGGCTACTCTGAGCCACAAGGTCGGACTATCGTGTGGAAGTGCTAACACGAAGGTGGCTACTGCTGGCCACCGAGATAGGCAACAAGAACAAAGAACTAAAGAACTCAGAAAGAATAGAGCAAATGCCTCAGAGCTTTATTATTCTCTCACAAAGAGAAGAATGGAATTGGGTGATTACAAATGAGGAGGAGAGCTCTCTATTTATAGGGGAGCTCCCTCTCAATCGATGACTAAGATCGTTTTACATGAAGGGCTAGGATTGATTCCCACCTAACCCAATCCCTTAAATCAAGGAAATCTCACCTAACATTATCCTTCTAGAATCCTCCAAGGAACGGGCCAGATCTGATGGTTCTGGGCAAGCCCATTAGTATGTATAATTCTCTTACAGATATCTGCTCACATGTCTCGGTTCGAATCCACGAGCCTCGACAACACTGCCCCCATCACCCTCGTCGCTCCTCTCGGACGCCTCGGAATAGATCCTTCACGGACTTGTTAAGCATTCTCCACGAATTGGCTAAGTCTGGTGGTCACGGTAAGCCCGATTCTCTGTATTGAACCTCTTGGTCGGACACTTACACCAATGTCTCGGACCTAAGTTTCTAGCCCGTGACATTCTCCCCCACCGAACCTAGCGACGCCCTCGTCGCTGCACTCGACTATCCTGGACAACACCATCTTGGAAACTCTTCAGTGCCTTGGCTTGTCGCGGTTCTCCCATACGAACTGCTTGCCTTGGCTTTTGCCTCATGTAACTTTCCCGATCTTTCACGCCATAGTTCACATCAACTTGGTTGCCTTTCGACTCCTCCGCTTGCTCACGTCCTCCCATAAGGACTCAGCCTCCCATAATGGCTGTGCTTGCTTCGGCTCTTGCCGCCAAGTGATGAAATGGGCTAACACGCCCACAAGTGCATCTCTTTCGTAGGAACTCTTTCCTATAAGTCTTGATTTTCCTCGGTTTGGACCTCCCTGTCCCTTGCGGCAAAGTCTTGGATCCCATCCAAACTTTGTTCCATCCGCGTTAAGAGTTAGGTCTTGCCCGACCTATACTCACTTAAAATTACAAATCAAGCTCACAAGAACACAAGAATAGTGTTGAGATGTACCTTCCCCTCTGATTTGTTGGCATTTACTTAAAATTTTGCGTCAGCCCTTCTTGCTCCATGAAGTCTGACACTCCCCGCATTGAACCCTTGTCATTGGAGTTCTTTGCGCCATCATGCATCGGCACTTTCTCACGGCAAAGTCCGATGCCCCTCCTTGCTTCCTCCATTCTAACACGAAGGTTGGAGCTCGCTTCCTACCTTTGAAATGGGTGGTGTCTCTATGGTTGCCTTGTCCCTCAACGTCTTGGCCTCCTTCGACTTTTGTCTACGAGTCTTTGAAGGATTGTTCCTCTCTTGAACATCCTCGGTAAGCCCTTGTCTCGACTCCTTGGACATGGTCAACTCGGTCTGCTCTTGGCCTCTACTTGCTTTGGCAGAAATGAACCGTATTGAGCCAAGTCGCAACGCCCCTTCGATCCTTGGTTCGTCCTCTTCTTTGGACAACACGATCCTGGGCTCATCCGTTACCTTGGATGACTCGACTCCCCTCGGGTAATCTCGCAAAACTGTTGGCACCTCAAGTTTGCGCCCCTTTACTTGCTTGACTCTTACCCTCGGCTTAGCGTCTGTGTCACTTGAACTAGTACACACATCATCACCAGATCCACCATCTGGTTCATCATTGAGTGGACTTTCCCTACCACTCGAGGAACAACATTCCTCATCCTTCGACTTACCTTCATTGCGGGATATCTTACCGCTACCCTCGACTTTTGGCTTTGTTTTGGAAGTCTTGTTCTTTTTGACTCCAAACTCTTTGATGGACTCCGCGGTTGTCAAGGCTTCAGACAGCTCCTTGACTTCCCTTCGCTCCAACGCCCTCTTTGCCCACGGCTTCAATCCGAACATGAAGGTGAAGAATCCCTCTTCTTCAGTCAAACTTGGGACTTTGAGCATGAGTATTCTGAATCGGCTCACATACTCCTTCAGTGTCCCCTTATGCCTGAGGTACCTCAACTTAGACCACGCCTCCATCTTGGCATACTGTGAGCAAACCTGCTCACTTTGCACCCTCGGCTTGACGGCTTTATCACTTGATATCGCACCGAGTCATTTCCTATGCTCGACTGCTTTGACACTCGTAGTCTTGGCACGTCTCAATCCTGGTTTGACTACTTGAGAACTTGTAGTCGCACCATGCTTGCCCCTCGACTTGGCTACTTTGGAAGATGTAGCCTCATCAAGTCTTGCCCCTGACTTGATTGCTCGATCATTTGCAATCGCATCTAGCTTCCTTCTCGGCTTGACCGCCTCCTCTTCGACAGCCTTGCCTTTTCTTGATCCTTGCTTGGCCGCATTGATCCCATCAATCGGACCAAGTCTTTCCCTTGACTTGGCACTTTTACTTGTGCCTCCGCCAACTCTTGCTACCTCTCCTTCTCCCATTATCCTCATGATGGTTGTAAGGCGACGCTTCTCGGGACATCCTCTAATCAAGTGAGGACTATCACAGAAGTAGCATTTCAGTTTTTCCTTGCTCCCCTTCTTTTTTTCCCCAGACTTGGCCTTGCCATTCTTTCCCGATGGCTTTCCTTGGCCGCGAACAGTCGATGGCTCAACTTGGCCACTCGAAGAGCTTTCTCTACCATCTCCCCGCTGCACCTTTTATCGGTCTCCCCCATTGTTGCCACTATCCCTGGGCATGGGCCTGGACAACACATCGCTCTTTGGCTTGACATCTACAAGCTCAGTCGGCGTTCCGGCTACAACTATGGCTTCCGAAAATCTCTGGGCATCACCTTGCTCTACCCCGAGCATCACCCCTGGTCTAAGTCCTTCCAAGAAGGTCTTGAGCGCACCCTATTCACTCATTGCTCCCTTGCATATGAGCAGCTCATTCTTGAGCTCATCCACCTCGCTTCTCAAAGCCGCAACCTCGGCTTCTTGGGCATTCCTCCCTCGAACCATCTCCAACTCGTCTAGAACTCGTTGCGTCTCGACCTTGAATCTGTCCTCCATGGACTCTAATCGATCAAGGCGGGACTCCACAACACCCTGGGTCTGCTTAGCTTCATCCTCGGTTTGTTCAAGTCTACCGACCCTTTGTTCCCACGAAGTTGAGATATGCTCTAGATTAATGAGCCTCTCTATGTGGTCAGTAATACATTCCATGCAGTAGGCCCATTTCTCGT